ATGGAATTCCCTATCAGACCACTGCATGTCATGAGGCTCAACCTCAGACACTTCCACTAGGTTCTCAGTCGCCTGAGAATGCCTTATGACTGGAAGGAACTGGTATCCCTTCTCTTCAGAGCTGAACAAATTCAGTCTCTCATTTTACTATCAAACAGTTTGTTCAGACTTTATACGCACAATTCCTTTCCAATTAAAGCCAAATTAAAAAGACAGCCAGCCCAGTTCACTCCAAAGTTTCCCCTAGGCCCCCTTACCTAGGAAATTTCCTCTTAGGTTTCTCTTGCCTAGGAAATGCTCCCTAGGTTCTGTTTGCTTAGGAAATGCCCCCCTAGCTTCCTCTTACCTAGGAAATGTACCAGTATTCCGTTCAGACACCTAGCCTTAAGACCTGAAACAGCTCAAATAAATATCAGGACAGTCAACTTAAGCAGGGAGGTCCGGATTTCAGAAGAACTCACTGAGGCACCTGAAGAGTGCAGTGAAGCTGGCGGGACTCAGTGGGCCTGGACTGCACCAAGCACCAATTCAAAGTAAATTCCAGGTGGTCTCAGGTGGGTCTCTCTGAAATACTGACAACTATACCAAGAAATGTCAACACAAATAATCAATAACCAATCTATAGATAAGAAAGATAGAGTGATATTTATTGATATCTATTGAACCAATGCTGAGGACTATCCTGAAAGTGTTCTCTTTCCCAGGGAAGAAAGCACTCTGGAGAAGCATGGCTATATACCATTTCAGAACAAAGATCATAATCGAGCAGGACAGGAACACAATTTTTTTCCCACAGTCACAAAGAGATGGTTTGCTACACTTTAGTACATACACAGCAGGTCAACTTGGCTTTGGCTTTCTGGGAAGAAAAGCTTATCTTCAAAGAAATACTGGTATTGGTACCAGAGAAAGGGAAACATTCGTCCCTATCTTTAAAGAGTGCATTCTTTGCTTTGGGAAAATGTCTGAGGCAGATGTACAATGCATATTTGGCAGGGCATAAGTCAGGCTGCTCTGGGAAAAACAAGTTTTAGGCCAAATCAGGATTAACCAGAATGGCTTCCCCATATGAGTCAACAAATGAGAACTTTTTAGTTTTATTATTTTTATCAAGTTATTTGCCCAGAGCCAGAATTCAAATCTGGATCAATCAAACTCCTGATCCCTTTCTACTCACCCTTAGACCAGACTGCCTCCCTGTGAGAGACTAATACGTTATTTTATTATTAGTCAGGAACCATGGGTGTCACTTTTTCTGCTGATCTGTGAGGCTCAAAAAGGACTGTGCTGACCATCCTATAGGTCAGTTACTGAGTTCCGATGCCTGGATGGACAAAAAACCTTGTGTGTGACTGGCCAGGAATCAAGGCGTCTACGAGCTCTGGTTGGTTGAACCTACCCACTGTTCAATTGGCCCATGTGTTTTACATTTCATAGAGGACTCTATCCTTTTGGTTTTTTGTAATAGCTGTCAATACTGAGTTCACTGGAGTGTGTTAATACAATGATATCCAAGCCTACCATATTTTATGAAAATGGATGGACCCCACGGGGTATTTACAGTACAAACAGCAGATGTGTGAAATTCTCAGGTTGAACCAGAAAGATGTTTATTGGGCTCTCGCCAAGGCCAGCAAGCACTGTAAGGACCCTGAAGGCAGCTGACTCACAGCCAGCCTCTGGTCGCTGAGACAAATGAGTGTATGGAACAATGATGGGGCCATGGGATAAAAGTTACACACGGAACTGTGGGCTCCTGGAGCTGCTGACCTGGTATTAATAGGCCAAGCAAATCTTCTTAGTGATGCCTAAAGCACCTGTGAGATAATCTAAGATGATCAGGAAGAAAGCAGAACTTTCCAGTCTAAAGCAGGATATATTGAAATAGCAGAAATAATTTTTGAAACTGGAGCAGTTAAGATCCAGGGAACTTTATTCATTTAGAGACAAAACTAACATACCATAAACATCACTCTTAAAGATGTAAAATTTTGTGATTTTTTAGTATATTCATAAAGCTCTACAACCAACATCACTACATATTCCAGGACTTTTTTTATCACTTGCAAAAAGAAAACAGACTCCCATTAGAAATCATCACCTTTATCCCCAACACCAGCAGCCACGGTAACCACTAGTCTCAGTTCTGGCTCTATGGATTTGCTTATTCTTGACATTTCATATCCATGGAGTCATACGGTGTTTAGTACTTTGTGACTGGCTTCTTTTAGGTAGCATAATGTTTTCAAGATTCATCTAGGTTGTAGAATGTATCAGTGCTTCTTGTGTACGACTGATACTCCTCCGTTATATGGATATACAACATTTGTTTATCCAGCAATCAATTGATGGACATATGTGTTGTTTCCTTTGTTTGGCTATTATGAATAAACATGGAATGAATATTTGTGTGCAATTGCTTACGTGGACATATGTTTCTAAGTGTTTTGGATATATACTAATGGGTGGAATTGCTGGGGCATATGGCAACTTATTTGGGTTTAAACGGTTGAGACATTTTAATAATTTTATCATTCTATCTGACCCACTATTTCTACCAAGTTTGAGGTCTCTCATGTCTCATAAGGCATCAACTCCCAAAGAGCGAAGAATGCATATTTCGCAGCCACAGTTGACCAGTCAGATCCCCAGGAACACTTACTAAAATGCCCTTATTGGAGCCCAAAACAGAGCCAACGCCTCAGGGTGTCGAGGTGTGGCGCAGAAATCTAAATTTTTAACAAGCTCTCCCAAGAAAGTCTCCCCTCACAGAAGGCAGGGAATCCTGACCTGGGTTTTAGGAGATCAACAAGAGATGCACCCACCCCCTGCACCTCTTGGCCTCAGGCTGAAACTGTACTTGGAGCAGGACCCTGCGGGTCTCGCCTTGCTGAGGTCAAGGCGATTCCGGACCTCAGTTCCAGAACTGAGCTCGGAGGCGGTGGGTGGTGAGTCTGCGCGTCGGGGGGCACCGAGGCCCGTGGGCGCGGGCAGCGGGGCTCCCTGGGACGGGCCACCTCCAGCGCTGACCGTGCGGCGAGCGGGATAGGAGCCCGGCGGGGGCCGCTGTCGGTCCCTGGGGCGGGGGCGCGGGCGGAGGGGCTCCAGCCGTGGCCAGGGTCGTGGGAACTGGCCGCCTCCATCGGTGATCAAGCGGCAGGCGCAGGGAGGACAGATGCGCGCTGAGCCTGGTCCTTTCGCGGGCGCGGGAATGGAGGGAGCGCGGTCCGGGTGCATCCAAGAGCCCCGCGCGCAGGCAGGGGCGCCCTTCGTACCCGAAGCCACCGCAACTGGCCGCCTGCTGCCCTGATGCGGGCTGCCTGCGCGAGCGGGAGCAACCGGCAGCGCGTCTGTCCCTCCAAGGGGCGCGGGCGCGGGGAGGAACGACGGGCAGCAGGCCAATGTCCGTCCCGGGCCCCCGCTGCTTCTCCCTGCGACCCAGCCAGGCCTTCCCGGGGTCACCGGGACCTGGGAGCAGCCCCTCGGGGGGACTATCTTCACCCAGGGGCGCGATGGGGCCGCACCCGCACCCCTGGCATCCGATTTCACACTGTCTTTGAGAGCTTTCAGGGGCTCGTCCCCCTTGCCTCTCCCCGAGTGCCCTCTTTTCACACAGCTCCTTATCCACGGGCCCTGGGAGCGCGGCTTCATTCAGGACGGTTTGGGGAGAAGCCACCAGCCCGGGGTGGAGTGAAGTTTTCATCTGGAAGGGCCCACGGAGGGAAACCCGGAGGATCAGGTCGACTCCCCGGGAGGCGTGGTGGAAGGTTGGGGTCAGTGGGGGGAGGGCTGCCCAGCTGTGAGGCAGGAGGGGTTAAGGGAGGGTGACAGGCAAAAGCCACACGGTTCCTGGCTGCCCTCCAGCGACGGTCAGCTGCCTGGGAGGGGGGAAGAGAAGCTGCCTAGGAATGAGTCCCCAGGAGCAATGACCTTTCTTGAGCGCTTCCTCCGTGCCAGGCACACTGCTGTCCTCTCTCCAGACGATGGGCTGCGCCACAGGAAATTTTGTGAAATAGATGCTATGATTATTCTCATGTGACGGACAGAAGCCCTGGGTGTCAGGGTCACACAGCTAGCAGGTTACCACACCTCCATTGGTCTGCAGCTAAAGTCCTGGCTACCGTAAAGAGAAAGGGTGGTAGGGGACAGTGTCCATTTGGGATGACTCAATGGGAAGCGTCCTGAGTATTTTTTTCTTGATCCCCCCCGCCCCCAGGAAAGTGGACAGGAACATGAGCCGGGTGGACAAATACAGGGAGAGAGGCCCCATAGCATGTAGGCAGGGCCTCGTCTGGAGACATGTCTGTGACTGGCTCTGTGACCTCAGAGATTGTGCTAAGAACGCTTGGATGTTTGTAGACATGGGCATGGCAGGAATCTATGGAGTCTGGCCTTGTCACCACGTCCCTCTGGCATTTGCTCTGTGACCTGGGACAAGTGAGCCAGTCCTCCTAAGCCTCACCCCTCTGCGCCCTCCTCTGTATTCCGGGCATGATGCTAGTGCCCACCTCCTACCACGGGGCGAGGGCTCCATGATCTAGTAGACGAGGAGGCTTAGAGCAGCGCCTGCTCCCGGCCTGATGAACCTGAGAAGTGTCCTTCGTTACTGACGCAGACCACATTCCTGGTGGCCCGCCCTGCTGCCGCGGATTTTTCTCCTGAGAAAGCCCTTGGGAGGCTACAGCAGGATGAGGGGCACGGTGATGTCGGCTGAACTGCGCACACCTCGAGGGGAGAACAAGGAGGGGTTGAGGATTTGCGCCTTTGCCAGGCGTGGCTCTGGCTGAGGGGCCGTGGGTGAAGGAGACTCAGGGTTCCCCAGGCTGGATGGACGTCCAGGCTTATTCACCGGGGTTATGAGTGTTGCTGCTCCGCTTCTTCTGCGCCTGCCTGTATTCAGAAACACAGGCCAGCCCGGCTTAGACTGGGCGTGGGGCTGCGGGCCTGCCCAGCGTTCTGGGTCCTCCTTAGGGGCGGGGCTTCTCAGCCCTGCTGGGTCGGGGGGGGGTGGGGGGGGGTAAGTTCTAGAGCAGAGCTGCCCACAGAACCCTCTGCCCTGCGGGCTGTCGAGCGCTGGAAACGTGCGTAGGAGCGGAATTTTTATTTTAACCAGGTCCACGTGGGTCTAGTGGCTACCATATTGGACAGCGCAGTGCTGGAGGGTCCGTGGATGGGCTTGGACATTTTCTGAATCTTTTGGTTTTTCCAGGAAGGGCGTCCACGGCTTTGATCAGACTCTCAAACCCCCCACCAACTTGACAATCTGCAGCTTTAGGGCTTTGGTGAAAAGTGAGCAATTGAGAGAGCTACGTATGCCCTCTGGTAACCACTGCTGCCTCTCCTCTCTCCTTTTGCCCTGTCCTCTGCTGTAGGTGGCTCCCTGCCCCACAATTACACAAAGAAACCAGTTGCAATCTGAGACTTCAGGCTCGGGATAAGGTGTACACTGCTGGAAGGGGCGATGGCGGTGGCCCTGGGGTGTGCCATCCAGGCCTCCCTGAATCAGGGCTCGGTGTTTCAAGAGTATGATACTGACTGTGAAGTCTTCCGCCAGCGCTTCCGGCAGTTCCAGTACAAAGAAGCAGCCGGGCCCCACGAAGCTTTCAACAAACTCTGGGAGCTCTGCTGTCAGTGGCTGAAGCCAAAGATGCGTTCGAAGGAGCAAATCCTGGAGCTGCTAGTGTTGGAGCAATTCCTAACCATTCTGCCCATGGAGATAGAGACCTGGGTGAGGCCATTCGGCCTACAAAATAAAGAAATCATTTTGGCACTGGTAGAATTCTTACAGACAGAACCTGAGATACAAGAGGAGCAGGTAAGAAAAGAGTTTGGGATCTTGGTAGTTAGACCAAAAGACGCAGCAGAGGCCGCTGGGCCTAGATCTGTGCTTGTCTGTGTCATTCTTCAGCCCCAAGGTTTCTCCACAGCCAGTGGATTTAACAAGGGAGAGAGAGAATGAATTAAACAAGCAAAATATTCCAATTAGGACGAGAGGAAACTGCCCCTTTCTGATCACTGTTTAAAGTGATATAATATGCTTTGTCCTACTGACTGGGCGGTCCCATACCTACCGCCTGGTTACCAAAATGCCGTCCTCCTTACCACTTGTAGAGGGTCTGAGGGATCTGGGGGCTGATCAAGGGAAAAGATATTACCAGGAGGTGGCAGTAGCACGCATAAGCTTTGCTGGGCAACTCATTGTCAGGTTTGCTTGTAGGGGACTCCCCAGGGAGTGAAGGCTCAGAGGGCTTTACCTGTCTAGGTGATGTCGCAGCCCAGTAGCATGCCAGGGAGGCTATGGGTCAGAGAATTCCAAAGGGCAGCAGTGGTTGGGGGACATATAACCACAAGGCTCCATCTTTTCAATGGCTAGCAGGTGTGGGGTGCAGTTTTCTGGGATTTGCAAAGCAGGTGGGCTCTAAATGGCTATAAAGCTGCTTCTGGGGGCTAATTTTTAAATAATGGGATGTGTGAGAATTGAGTTTGGCACTGGCTGGCTTCTGAGCTAGGAAGTCTTGCCTGCGGTGGAGAAAGAACAACCTACGGGCCAAAAAAAGAGGGCTTGTTCATACGGTTAGGCTCATTTCTAGAACAACCTCTCTGGTGGTTGCTGTGGCAACAGACTGGCTGTTGTTGAGGGTACAGAGAAGAGTCCTGCCAACAGAGGCAGGCCTAGAGGCATGACTTCTGGCTGCCATTCAGCGTTGACCAAAACCCTGGAGCCAAGCTATAAAACACACAGCGAGCATCCTTCTATGAGCATGCGTGAGCAGGACACGTTTCTAGAACAGGAATGATTGGTTAGTGGGCTTGTGCATTAAAAACTTTAATAGCTATGGTCCACTGTCCTCCAAAATTATTGTACCAGTTTACCTTCCCACCACAGCTTATGAAAGTGATCGTTTCTTCTCCCCTTCACTCACCCTGGGTACCTTAAATGGCTTACGCTTTGACTTGTGATGAGCGCCATGGCTGTTTTCCCCATGTTGGCAGACAGAAGGAGGGCTGCTATCTGGGAAGACCTTTTTCATAAGCGTCAAGTTCATTCAGCATTGATGAAGCTGTTTTCTGGAATGTGTAAGAGTAGAGATGGGAATTGAGGTCAGGAGGGTGGGAGATGGGGCAAAGGGGAATGGTTAGAGGCCTTAGCTGACATGGGCCGTGAGCATAGGTTGGGGAATGCCAACTGGTCATAGTGCTAGGAGCAGGGCTTTGAGAGTCCAGGAACAGAGGCCAAGTGCACTGAGGCACAAGGATCTGAGCGTTACACAGGACAACGGGGTGGGTGGGGGTGGTAGATGGGAAGTGTGTGACGTTAACATCCAGGAGGAAGCTCAAGTTTGGGCCAGCCTCTTTGAAAGCGGGCACCAAGGGGCACTATGCCAGGCTGGGGAACTGAGGTGGAAGTTCTCAGGCCTTTGATTTGGTGCTGCACAGAAAGGAGCAGCTGGACTGATGGCAAGTCCACGAGACACAGCTGCCTAGTAACGATACTCCTGGCCTTCGTTCTTGTGGGTGACTGATTCTGCCTCCCGGGCCGCTCTCAGTCCTTGACTACTCATGTCTTTAGCTCTCTTCCCCCCAAGGAGCAGGTGTCTGGGGTGGTTTCAGAGTGACCCCAAGGAAATCTGCAGCCTTCAGAGTTTCCAGTCTACAATCTACATACAGGATGGGAACCGCCATATGAACACTTCCTGCCGTTCTGGACTGTTTTCCTTGTCTCTCTTGTGGGGTTGTCCTGGGCCTTCTGGATTCTTCCTCCCTAAGGCTGTGCCACTCCCCATCCCTCACCCTTCGGTTGGCTCCACTTGAACTTGATAACAGCTTTCCTTGGATCCAGGACCTCCAGTTTATTTGACTTTGGTCTCATTACCCTCTCATCCCAACCTTAGCTTTGAAACCCAAGCATAAACAAAATGGGAATTTAAACAGCTTTTTATTCTAAATTCTGTTTGTCTGAAAATATATGGCCGTTTATCCATCAAAATAAGAAATAAGGTATTTTAGTCAATTTCCTGTGCCTTGATATAATTTTCTGAAATGTAAATTTTCCTTCGAATTAACATTAGCCAAACTAACTTGCTAATGTCATGTTACTTAATGCTAATATTTAAACATCATCCTGCATTTCTATCTCAAATGAGCCACTTCCAACCCACGTTTTCCGGCAGACCCATCAACTTGGCCAGAGCTGAGGAAGGGACAGGGAAAGAGGATGTAAATTACATGGGGTCTTACTGAGGAGAGGGGTGGTAGGACACAGGGCGACAGGGAGTGTGGAAACTTCTCCTGGTTGTCCTTAGACTGGCCTTGAGAAGCACTGCTGGATGGCTGGTTGGGTTAATTTTGAGAGAATCCACTTCCAGCCTTCAGCTGAAACAGACATCTAGAGTTTGTTTTTTCTCAAGTTATTTTTGCTTGTTGCCAACCTAATTCCGTTACCATTCTAATTTGAATATGTCCAAGTGAAATTATTCCAGTAAGCAGTTTCCTATTTCCCCCGGGCCTCTCTCTTTCTTCACCTGGTGGTCAGTAAGAGGGTGTTTCTCAGTTTTCATGTGCCGGCACTTTAGGAAGATCGACTTCATGTTCTGGCTCTCACCTAAATAATTCCATTCTCAAGACCGATGTGGAACTCCTTCAGGGCATCGACTTCACCCCAGAATCGATGCACTCTCCTTCCATAGATTGGAAGAGAATAGCTTTGAACTGAGCACACTGGGATCCTCCCCCGCCCTCATTTGGTTTTCTTCTGATCCTGAAAACCAAACCAAAACAAACCACTTGTCAGAGGCTCCTGGAGAGGCAGTCCTAACCGAGAAGGAAGTAGATAGGTACAGAGAGGCAATGTGTCCAGAAAAGTCACCTGGGGGGCCGTCTGAGTGGCATAGTGGTTAAGTTCGCGCACTCTGCTTCGGCCACCTGGGCTTTGCTGGTTCGGATCCTGGGCACGGACGCGGACCTACACCACTTGTCAAGCCACACTGTGGCAGACATCCCACATATTAAATAGAGGAGTGTGGGCATGGATGTTAGCTCAGGGCCAATCTTCCTCAAAAAATAAAAAAAAATGCCGCCTGGACTCGAGAAGGAAACCTGTGATGACTCAAACTGTCCTTCCCCCCATCTCTCCTATGGCCAGAACACCCACGATCAAAGGCTGAGCAGAGGTCCCCAGAAGAGCAGGGACAAGAGCCATGGGTGAAGACAATACAGGATCCCAAGGAAGTGAAGCAACAATTACTTGACCCCGAGATAGGTAGGTGAGAGTTCAGCGGATGCTCGGGAAGAAAGAAAAGAAAAATTCACCTCGATCCCAGGGTAAAGAGGTTTCGGATGCCCCTTGGGAGTTTCTGTCTTCCGGCTAGCTGTTGAGTTTAGCTCTTTTTAGTCCCTTTTGTCTCCATTCAGTGACATCTGCAATTTCTGGTCCTTCTCTCAAGTTTGCTATTGGGAGAGAAAATATGTCAAGCAGAAACAGCTGGAGAGTGTGTGTCCATTTTCTGTTTCTTTAGATGGAAATGCACTGCTTGGTCCCAGTTTACCCGAATACTCTGAACAGCTAGAAAATCACTTGGGAAACCCTGCAGAGCATCTACCCAGAGACTGCACACTGCCTGTCCCTGAGCAGAAGCCTGCTCTAGGAGGGACAGCTGAGAGCTCCAACCAGGGAGACCCTCTCAGCCCTGGAGCCCAGGAGCCAAACCGTCCCGGAGAGAAACCACACCAATGCACGCACTGTGGGAAACGTTTTGCTAACAAGAAGCTCCTTAATGGGCACCTGAAAATTCATTTGGGAGAGCTCCCTCACAAGTGCCTCGAATGTGGCAAAGGATTCCTTCGTAGGTCAGACCTCTCCAGGCATCAGCGAATCCACACGGGGGAGACACCCTATGAATGTCCCGTGTGTAACAAGCGATTCACCCAGGGCTCACACCTTAAATTGCACCAGAAAGCCTATTCTCAGCAAGAAACATACCGCTGCGCGGAGTGTAGGAAGAGTTTTTGTAATCGAACAAGTTTAATAAGACACCTGAAAGCCGACACAGGTGGAAAACCCCACAGGTGTCACAGTTGTGGGAAGAGTTTTAGTCGACAGACAGATCTTACTTTGCACCAGAGAACACACACTGAAGAGAGGCCGTTTATATGCGAGTATTGTGGGAAAAGCTATAGGCAGAGATCAAGCCTTGCTTTTCATTTAAGAATCCATGCAGAACAGAGGCCGTAGAAGCGTAGTCATTGTCCTCCAAGCTTCATAAAGGATGCCGGCCTTCGGATGCACCAAGCCGCTCACTTCAGAGAAGAGCTCTCTGAGAGTTTGTTGAGGGAATCAGCTCTGACACAAATCAACACGAATTCCCAAAAGCCTCCGCCTGCTCTGAGCTGTCTGGAAAGAACATTTTGTTTGAGTTCATTCATTACAACAGCTGTATGTTTTACTGGTTTAAAACCCATCTTCCAAGGCCTGTAAATTCTAGAGTATTCACTGACTCTGGCCATCATTCTGGATTTCATTTTTTTTCTGTCTCGGCAAGCCTTATTTAATCATTACGATGGAAATGTCTTTGTCCCAAGCCAACTGCAGCACAGGTGTAAGTAAGAAGCATAAAAATGCTGGCATTCCCTTCAGATCTCGGGTCAGTATCCCAGTCAACAGGGTTGTGCCCAGATGACCTGTATCTATGCGATACTGTATTCCCAAGGAAATGGGTGTGCTTTTCCTGTTTCATTCCCACTGACTAGTTGTTGGAGCACCATGCAGATGCTGCCCTAATGGGGACAAGGAGCACTTCCCTTGACCCCCGCTTACACCACGTGTCAGAATCACTGTCTCCTGTGCAGCCATTGCTATGCTTAAACACATTAACATGGAGGCCTTACCCAGAATGAACTTCCAATAAATATGGTATTTTCTTCTTTGTTCTTTGAAATGATGAAAACGTTGAATGTTGTGATCTTTAAGTCTAGCTTTGGTCACATTCTCCAAATTTTATGCAATTGTTCTTATTTATGATTTGGTGATTCCTTGTTATTGCAGTTTTCATTTTATTTCCTCTCTGCCCCAAGATTTGGACAATGTCGATATTTTCCTGTCAATTTTTGGTTATAACACCTTTTCGTTAATAGAGGAGGTTCCTTCTATTTCTACTTTGAAGTTCATTTAGATTTTCATGAAGACTTATGTCCTAAGACCATAGAGAAGGGTCCCATCAGTAGGGCACACCCTAGCGGTGGAGTGGTTGGGTCATAGGGTTTACATCTATTCACCCTCTCTAAATACTGCCCAAATGTACTACAAATGTCTTCTCCCACTCCCCGGCTTGTGGTTGCACTCACTTATTGGTATCCCCAGATGAGAAGTTCCCAGTTGTAACATAGTCCCATTTATCATTTTCCCCTTTATTATTAGTTCTGTTTGAATCCTGATGAAGAAATTTTTGTCTACCCCAAGATCGTGAACATATTTTCTACATTTTCATTTTAAAGTTGTATTATTTTACCTTACATTGAGATCATATTTCACCTGGATTTGATTTCTTTTACAAATGGTATGAGGTAAGGGTCATGATAACTTTAGAATGGGAAAGTACTTGCTACTTGCTATTTTGTCCTCAGCCTTTGGGTCTTAGCAAAAATTGAGATGGTAAGAAAACATTTTTACCAGCCTGTTAATGGAGTCCAGCAAGTATGTTATGAATGGCATTGCAGGCGGAATGGACATCTCATACAAAGTTCTGAGGAGAGGAGCACAGAGTGGCTGCAGGGAAAGCTAGAGTGATGGGCAGAGGCCAGTAAATGGAGGGTCTAGTTATCCACCTGATGGAGTTGGAACCTCATCTTGCAGTCAGTGGGGAGCCATAGACTCTATTGAGAAGTACTAGTGAGATGTGCATTTCAGAAAGTTCACTCTGACTCCTAGATGGGGATTAGGGGAACGAGATAGGAGACAGGAAGACCAGTGAGGAGAGAGCAAGTGGGCTGAGATAAGGGGAGTGTTGTGCAGATGAAACAGAAGGGAAGGATTCGAGAGGAATTAGGAGGCAGAATACACAGGCCCCAATGACTGACTGGATATGGGGAGTGTGACAGCCAGATCTGGGTCCTGAGCACCTGGGATTGGGAGACTTGAGGAACAGCTCATAAAAAGGGAATGAGGGCCCTCTTAGCCTCACTTCCCTGTTTTCTTGGCCTTCAGGTCCACGGTCACCCATTTAAACTCACGAGAACTTTCAATCCTGTCATCCTGTTCACTCTCTCCTAGACTGTCTCCTGTCCATGGTAATTCATTCATTTAATAATCTTTAGGGGCCTATTAATTCTAGATAACATGACAGGTACTGGGGATGGCAGAGTCCTAGTCCTCAGGAAAATCAGAGTTTAGTAAGAGAAGACTAAAAATTAAGCAAATAATTATACAGCAAGGTGGTAAGTATAGCAACACACAGGTATGTATAGGTTAATATGGGAGCAGAGCTAAAGAATCTGCAAAGGCTCCATAGTGGTGCATAAAGGGAAACTTAAAGATGGGTAGATGCAAGCCTGGAAAATAGGACAACACTGAGTTACTGACCCAATAGTACCTGAGGCCAACTCTCTGAAATAAGGTTCTATTTTGTAAGCCAGCTTTCATAAACTAGTTTTAGTTGGATTTCTGTTATGTGAACTGAAAGCCTCTGGATTGAAAGAATATCCAGTCCCTTCCACAAATGATCTAGGCATACAGGTAGGGAAGGTAGGACTGAGTGGGAGGAAAGGGGGTTCAGGGCCTGTGTATGAGGGTAGATGGTGCCAGAGAGCAGGGCAGGCAGTCCTGTCCAAGTGAGTGTTGGTGCTGTGTGAGGACAGTTCCAAAGCAGGAGGGGAAGGCAGGCCTGAGTGAGGGTTCAGGGCTCACAGGAGTCCAGCAACAGCCTGCCAGGATCAGGAGATTGGCTACATATGGAGGAATGGATATAATGAGAGCCAGATTTCTCACTGTTGGAGAAGGGAGGTGCAGATACAGAAAGGGGGAAGGCTTAATGAACTCTGTGGTATTGCACTGGAATTGCACGTATTGGTTTGAATGTTTTGGGTGCTGTATTAGTTTCCAAGGATTGCTGTAAGAAATGATCACAAACCGCGTGGCTTACAACACAGAAATTTCTTCTCTTACGTGTCTGGAGGCCAGAAGTCTGAAATCAAGTGTCAGCAGGGCCATGCTCCCTCTGAAGACTTTAGGGAAGAATCTCTCCTTGACTCTTCCTAGCTTCTGGTGGTCCCTGACAATCCTGGGCATTCCCTGGCTTATAGCAGCATAACTCCAATCTCTGCCTCTGTCCTCACATAGCTTTTCTCTCTGTGTATTCTCCTCTTCTTATAAGGACACAAGTCATTGGATTTAAGGCCCACCCTTTACGTGGTATGATCTCATCTCAATCCTTAACTACTTACAATTTCAAAGACTCTATTTCCAAATAGTGTCATATTCTGAGGTTCTGAGCGGACATGAATTTGGGGAGGGCACTATTCAATCCTATATATACGCATGATAAGTTTGTATGTGTGTGTGTGTGTGTGTACACACACATGTCTAGACATATACATATCCTAGCACTGCACACTGAAAAGGCCAATGGGTCGTGACACCTCAATAGCAGAGAGCACACCTAGCACCTAGATCTTGATTTCAAAAACACCACAATGTCCACCAAAATGAACCAGATCCTTTGGACAAATGGCTGATTCCATAGCTGAGGCAGGGAAACAAGATGAGCATAGAACATCTTGCTCCAGATAATAAGGAAACATTCAAAGGATGACAGGCACAGAGGCAAATTTGAAAGGGCTCCCATGGACCAAATGTGGGACAATATGAGCATCAAAATAAATAATGCTAGTAACATATCACAAATAAGAACGTGAGTCCACAGTGATAAACATAAATGAATAAGACAATGGGGGGAGAAGAGAGAGGTCTTCCTTATATTCAACTAATAAATGTAGAATGATTGATGATATCAGAAAAATCACCATTTGTCAACCACCACAGTTGTAATTACTTTAGGCAAGAGCCATCAATGCACACTAAAACTGGAGGGTGAAAGTGGTGTGAGGACGGGACAAATACCAAAGTATCTATTCACAAAATATTTATTAATTACATGGAGGGGGAGGGGAGTAGCTTTACAACGGAGAAATCAAACCAGTACCATTTTAAGTAAATGATCACAGTTAACATCATCAGTAATGGGACAGATTGATATCACGTGCCACCTGATGGCAATGAAGCAACAGAGCATCTGCTGATATTCTGGCCAAAAATGCATAATCTAAGTCAAATCATGAGAAAAGCCAAACAAGCCCAAACCGAGGGCATTCTATAAGATAACTGGCCTAAATCATTTAAAACGTTAAGGTCACGAAAGTTAAGGAAAGACTGAGGAATTGTTCCACATTCAAAGAGGCTAGAGAGACATGGCAGCTTGATGAAATGCATGATCCTGAATCAGATCCTTTGCTATATGAAAGATGTTACTTGCCAAATTAATGAACGCAAATGAGGTCTCTAGACAAAGGATACATAGGAATTTTTTGTATCATTCTTGTAACTTTTCTGTAGGTTTAAGGCTGTTCGGAAGAAAAATAAATGGTCTCTGTGGAGGAAAAATAAGGCAAGTTTATGCACATCTCTACAAGTCTAGAAAAACATAGGTGTCTCAGGGTGGAGGGATTACATTTCTTTAAAAGAACAACTATACTTTCTAATTTTGCCATAGTGAGAAAAGCATTACTTGTACAACAAAATGCTTATATAAGTTTTTTAAAAACCCAAACAAACAAAATCTCCAATTGTCTGCAAAAGTTCTCCACATATGTCTTTTGGAAAGCCACCTCTGAACTCAGCCTGTCCAAATCCAAACCGACCAGCCAACAGAGTGCCCAGCACTTATCTGACACATGCCAGCCATTATAATCATCTCTCACCGTGATTCCTCAGCTGCCCTGAGTACCTCCACATGTTTCATAAGGCCAAACCTCTCCACATACTGGCCCTTGTGGCTGAAAACTCTCACTCATCACTTGAGTACTGTAGGAACACAAAAGAGGCTTCTCTTGGAAAGAGTGAGAAGGATAAATTCCTTAAAATGTGACTTGATAGGTGCCAAATAACATACATAAGAGTGACATCTAGAGCATGGCTATTCTTTCCATGTATAGATCATCTGACTATAAGTTGGAAGTGGCCTACTGCAAGCTGTCTTCAAAAAATTTGAAAATAAAAGGAAGGAAGACAGCCCTCTGCCTATAAAATACATGATCAATGTCGAATGGGTCACAAAAAAGTCAGTGACA